TTCCTTGAGGTGCCTAAAAACATGTGACAGCGTATACTCCAGCATGTAGCAGGTATGTCAAACTATTTGTTAACTTTAATTCAAATTAAGCACAGCAGTTCCTATCAAAAGCATATTACTCCTCAACGGAGAAGTAAATATTTCACTTAAGCAACTGTGGTGGCAGCTTTCTTATAGTACTTTAGTCATGTAAAATTTATACAACTCATACGGCTACTTTCCTGCAGAGCAGAGGGGTCTGTAACACTGGCAAAACAGCATTGTGGGTAAACAGAAAAACTGATTACTGATCCATAAAGGAAATTTAAGAGTTGATTCTACAAGAGTACAAGCATTTTCTCCTCCTATGCACATGAGAAGCATTATTTTTCTTTCACTGCAGAGAAGTGTCATTTTGAAGTGGACACTCCATCCTGAAACACAAAATTCAGGACATTTCCTCAAGGTTTCTTTCCTCTTTTTCTCCTCTTCTCCCCAACTCCCCCGCCTTCTACTCTATCTCAGGTCATTTACACTATACACTTTGATGGAGGGCATCCTTCTCCTCTGTATTTATGAATCAAAATGTATTCTCCAACGGATATCTGGAGGTATAATTTGCCCCCTAACACTCTTCAATCTTTATTGCTGACACATTCAAGGATGCCTAACTCCTACAAGAGAAAAACCACATTAATCTTCAAAAATACGTCCTTACCTGCCTCCCAAAAATGAAAATGGATGGTCTGTGAGAAATTACCTGAGTTTTGCTGCAAACCCTGAGGATCATGCACTTTTGGAAACAATTTTGAATCTGAAAAACTTATAAATAAAAATACGTGGGTATAAAAATACAAACCCTGCACGGTACTAAGTCTTTCCTTGGAGGCATAAGGCACTCTGCTTCCCTCAGCAGATGTCAATAGAAATCAAGAGCATTCAGCAGCTTGCTGGATGTAATCTGTGGGATGCCTACATACACTTTTTCTGAACACTGGAGAGAATGACTCTTTTGCTTCATGTTTTTGTAGGTGATATTACACTATGGAAGTAGCTCCAAATCACACACTGCCACCCAGCCATGCTAAATCAAACAGCCATTCAATTACTACTGAAGTTAAAAAAATAAAATAGCTAGGCTGGGGATCTGCAAGCAGACAGGCAACTCAAAGAAAAGACCTAAGATGACCTTTCTGTTTCTAGATAGTGCAAGAAAGAAAACAACCATAAAGAGAGAGTGATGCTTTTCACATTACATATTCCTTATGCTGCCTTTTGCACAGAAAAGATCTGGAGTAGCCTTTGAAGGAGAGGTCACTTAACACACCAGGGAGCATTCCCATCTCCATACTCTCAATTTAGCAAGAGACCTAATAAATGCCAGTTGTAGAAGAGGAAATTTTGAAGGCTTTTAGGAATTTAACAAAACTGTCTTCATTTTGAGCTGATTCACTGTAGCTAGGAGAATGAGAGGCACACAAGTTAATTATTTCTTTTTTCCTTTCTTTTAAATTTTATTTTAAAAGTATCTACTTAGAATTTACTTCTAATTCTAAAGTATTACCAGAAAAAAAATGTTTGATTTGACTTTGATCTTCTTAAAATTATTAGCCTAGGTGTTTACTTCTGCATGCTAAGAATCTTCCACATACATTCAATTGGAAATAAAAACTGAGCTCTGTACAATGGCCAAACTTTATTTTACTTTACGGTAAATACCTGTATTTTGAGTCTTCGCACTGAAACAAGAATGTCTGAGGCTATACAATAGTAACTTTTCTGAAACTGCTGAAGCATGGAAAAATAATATGGACCTCTTAGTATATGCAAAACCTGCTAGATGCTTTGTACATCTCAGTATCTTCCACTGGGCTATATCCCTAGTCTCCTGTCCCCTATGACGCACAAACATGAAATAAATGATACTTAAAATTAAAATTAAAAAATTTAAAAAAAAGAGACCGAAACCAAAACAAACCCCCAAACAATTTATGTTCCATTAATTTGTCTTAAATGAAATGGAATGTTTCCCCAAAAGCATCAAGATCCAAGCAGTGGTAAAACTTAGTAAAAGAGATGAAAAATATGAGTAATTTTAATCAGTGTTTTAACATGCTTTAAACTAGTTCATATCAACCTCTGGTACACATACATATCACTAATGAGAAATTGTTTCATCTCTTCTCCATGTCCATCCTAGAGAAATTTTTACTTTAGTTCAGTTTCTTAATTGATATCTAGGGCTAATACAACTTTAAACAGTACACCTACAAGGAACAACTAAGTGTAATCCACTTCTGACTGTTACTAATTTTTCAGATTCAAATAGAAAATATATAGAGCTAGTAAAAGACAGAACAATCACAGACAATTGACCCAGTTTAGAGTTTAAGTAAAATCTAGGAGAAGCTGCTGGTTTGAATTGGAAGTCATGAATAATCAGACTCATCAGGACCAATTTTTGCAGTTTCTGGAGCTGTGGAATTCTCCAGCAGAAATGCACCTTCTCCCCTGTCTCCGTATAAATACTGTGTGTACCTTCATGAGCTACACCCAGTTACCTGCAAATACTGCTGACTCAAAGCCCAGTCATCAATAAGGATCAGCTGAATTGCCATTCTCTTTTCCAAGCAATAGAAAACATTGTGAAAAAACTTGCTGTTCCCTACGTATGTCTACTATAACACATTCTCCACTGAGATGCCAATGAAAGGGTAAGAAATGAGCAGGCAAAAGCATTCCTCTCTCTTGTTCACAAATACTGTTTCATGTGGTCGTTGTGCAACCATCATTCAATGCTTCTATCTAGAATTTTTGTCCTCTGACGTTACACAACTATGAGCAAGGCTTTCAAGGGAAAGATTGTTTCTTTGTCTTGTGTTTTCTACAGTGCACTTCATAGAAGATTGTGATAAGTAGCCAAAACATTTAAGATCTACAAAGGTTCACCAGAGAGAATACAACACCAGTAATGCACTAGTATCAGCTGATGTCCTACAGAGGAGTGGCAAAGAGTACTCCCTTCTGCCCACCACCTTTCCAGCATCCTGAAAGTCACTTCTTCAAGCCTGGTGATATGCAGATACCTTATTCCCCAAGCAGTAGGTAGACAGATATTTCCCCCTCCAGGTGTTACTCCTGAGGCAGACAATTCTTTTACAATAATTCATTTTCATGAGAGACACAGAAATACTTAAGAGTTATTTATATAGTACAAAGAATATGTTAGTACCCAGAATTGTTCAGAATAGGATAATTAGGCTGCTTGTCCCTAAAAGGTGCTATTACGGTTAAAAATAGAAGCTATACATCTTTGACCACGAATGCCTCACTCCACAGATCTAAACTACCGGTTCCTACACAAGACATACAGAAGCAGGAGGGAGAAGAGGCTGACCCCACAAAGATGACAGAGAGCACAACACACAGCATCTTGTGAAGAAATGGAAAACATACTTTTTCCCAAGCCTTTCACCTGACAAGACAATTTTAGACTGCAGTTTAACTGCAGATAATGCTTGTTTTTAGAGTTAAAATTTTACACAGCCCTGCATTTTGGCTCGTAAACCGTACAGCATTTGCAGCAACAACAAAAATTACTTTGCAGTTTCAACAAGACTGCAGCTTGCCATGTCACCTTCAAAGTAAAGGTATTGAATCAACTATTATTAAAAATCATGAGGAATACAGATCTTGCTTTTAGGATATACTACCCAGCTGTAATATCCGTTCGATTAAAGCCAGACTTCTTGTATGGAGACAGCATCATTATTTCATGAATCACCAGTGACCTTTGGAAGATACTAGGAAAAGCAGGCATGTTCATTCCCTTCCATCGATTTTCTAATTTTGAGTAAATTGGTTTAATCTGAGGAATGGTTATCTATTAGGAATAAAAATACCTCAACTGGCTTTAGAAAACTGTATAAAGCCTCTGAACTGAAACAATGAATTTAGAAGGGAAACTTGAGGCAAAAAAGTAGTGATTACATAAATCTTAACTTGGGCATGATTCTGTGGCCAGCCACACAAGTATGAAAGAATTGGCATCTCTCTAAACTTAAAAGACAGATATACAGGCCCAGACCTTAGTTTTACTGCACTATGTGTCTGGCTTACCCATTAAATGTCTGCTGTTTGAAAAGCCTGCAGAAAAACTACTCACCTAAAATGGGAAGTGGCATGGGCATTTTCATCTGGTTAAAATGAGAACTAACGTGCTGAATATTGAGAACATTTGACAGTCCTGAATCTAACCAACTTAGAAGGCAAGTTCAGTAAATCAGCACATAAACATCAGTATACAAGGCTATGTAATTGAAGGAAATGGCGGTTTATGGAGTAACTGTTTCCGTCATCATTGTATTGGTGCCCAGATCTCATTTATTCTGGTAACTAAACCTTTGTCTTAACAGATTGGCTCTACTTTATTACCTTCTGAACATGAAATGATCATACCTAAGCTTTCTTTGCTATCAATTCATGCTCTCATAATGTCAATAATCTATAATAAACACAGATTTTGTCACTATGGTAATTTACCTTAAAATCATACGCAGGCTACCTGTGCCTTTACCTTTTTTATATTTTCATTTTTTGCCTAGTCCACTCATTAAAAAGAAAATTCTAGTAAAGGATTTAAAGCACCAAACTGTAACAATCTCATAGCAAGCTATATGCACAATTGGGCTTGCCTTTTGTTTTGGTTTTTTTTTTTTACTTCCAAACTGTCGATTGGTAACTCTAAGTTGAATTCCACTTATTCCTGAGAACTTTGTTCTCACCATCCAACACTAAATGTCTTGTCCAGAAATTATGAACTACCGAATTTATAAATATTGATCAGAGCACATAAATTCTTACACTCAAATGAGAAATAAACAAAACTCTTAGAAGACTCCTTCAAAGCTGAACATCTGAATCCCCACCCCTACAATACTCTGAACCTCTTTAAACATCACAGAAGATTATAGGCACAAATATTGAAATGTCAGACTGGCAATAGGAAAACGTTCACTTACCTCACGATCCAACAGCACAGGTGACACCACTGTAACAATATCTCCTTTTTCTGGGTCAATATAGAACATATTTGGAGATGGTTTGGTAGGGGTCTGCTTGAGGATGTTATACCGCAGAAGAGCATTGTCTGTGCTAGCATCATCAGCATCAAATGCTGTCATACGCATCACTGTCGTTCCTAAGGAAAAGGTGGACAAACAACAGAATGCGGTTGGCAAAACCAGGTAAAATTATGCTGCCTTCACACATGAGAACCAGGTGGGTACAACACATAATTACCTCATCAAGAACACTAAGTAGTTCCACCTGATACTTAGTCTGTACTTTTATTTGTATTACTTTTACTTGCTACTGAACCAACAACAAAAGACTAGTGTTTCTAGTTTGCAGCAGATGTGACTTTAACATAAGTTCCCCATACTTGTTGCCATCCATATTAATTGCATTTCACTAAATGAACTACAGATAAATCTTTTGCACTTTAAATTTTACAGGTAGAAAGTCTACAGGATATTTATGCTGAAGATGACAATGCTGACATAAGAGAAATGTCTCTATTTTTACTTTAAAGTCTTGCATAGTTTCAGAATTGGAAATAATAATTTCTGTAAGAAATAATAATGTAAGAATAATTTCAGTAAGAAATTTTGTAACGATTAAAGCCTACAGTACTCTAATTTCAATTTCTACAAATTTATGGGCTTGTTGTATCAGCCTCAATAAAAAACCCTCACCTCTATTGCCAGGCTATCCTTCGAGTGATAAAGGTTTTGTTTAACATGAAAATCCTCTCACATACAGTTCCGCTATAGAGTGCAATACAGTAAATGCTCTTGACTGCACAGATTCCTAAATGATGTACGGAAGAAAAAACTCACTCTTCTGCTACATCACATTTAATACAGGGAGGACTGAGTGCTGCCAACTGTCTACTTAGCTAGTGGAACACATACTCCTGCATCATGGGATCAAGTCTTTTCCTCTCCCTTAGAAAGGCATACCAGCGGCTGACATAGCCTACAAAATTCTGTCACAGTATTCTTTATTTGCTTTGTATAGTACGTTGAGAATCAAAGAATGGAAGGGATTAGACACCTGAGCTGAACCATGAGATATTCACCTGTAGACCATTATAATTTCTTAATAATTTCATTTATAAGTGTAAATGTAAGCATTATTTTTTAAAAAATCTAACATAGTAAATCATCACAAAAATACTGAAGTATTTCTGGTAATACTGACCTGAAGAAAGAATAAAATCCTAGCAAATAACGTCACGATCAAATCAACAAACTTGTTTCAATGGTCAAAGTTAAGTAACAAATTAACGTAAAAGGTATTAGAAAACTTTACACAAGATAAGGAATCTAGGAAGGTATCCATTCTTTTGCCCAAAAATCCGAACTAAAATAATTTATCAAATTCCATCAACTGTAATTTACATTTTAGTAGCTTAGCACTGAAACCATATTATCTAATGTGCAAACCTCAATGTCAAAGTTAATTGTAATTCTTTGTTAGAGATTCATTCTTATGTGGTGGTTAATCCTTTCTTTCCTCTATAGACTTTCTGTGGGCAAGTATTGTTTTAAAATACCTAGCCTTTCCTGGCAAAATAACATCAAATGATTAAAACCTTCTGGTACAGAGAAGGCCTAAAATATTACACCGGAAGGGCCTGCAGAACAGAAATATATATCATTCACATACAATGATAAACAGTGAGTTTATATTCTTTCTGAAGGTCTTGAAGCACACATCACTTAAAAAAAAAATAAAAATTAAATACTGTGGTAAAAGTAAAAGCAAACCCAGCTTCATTTATAGGCTGACATAACAACTGCCTGGTTCACTGTTAAATAAACACGACTGGCTTGTTCAGATATGTCTCTTCTTTTTCTCTTTTGCTTTGCTTCCCAGAGTACAAAGTATTGCCTCTTGTCGTAGTGACCTTGAGTATAAGCTCTCAAAGGTTTTGCTTCATCGCTACTTCAGGCAGAGTTACCCCCTTGAGAAAAATAACAGAGATCTGACAGCATGTTGGTTTTATTCACCAGTGATTAAAGGTCAGACAGCTCAAAAAGCAGCTTACCATTGAATACCATGCCATGTTTTCCAATATTACAAGATGATCCTAGCCCTGATATTTTCACCTACTTTGTTTGAGACTTCAGAAGAAGAAAGAAAAAAGAGCAGCCTTCTGTTTTGAAAAATGAAGATTCACCCTCTTTTCACAACACACTACTATTTTTTAGACATTTATCACATTTTGAGAAGATTGTGTTCATATTTGATAATATGTTTCATGAAGATCTCCTAAGTCACTAGAATTCAATGAAATAAATAAGAATTAAGGCAAATCTGAGAGGGATCTTAAAGAGTGGCCAAGTTCAAGTGAAATTGCATTGGTTTCTGTACGCAAGTCTACCCTGAAAAATGCAATTCAATGAGATTCTACACTCCAATATTTAGATGAATACACTATTTCTACCATTATTAATCAATTAGATGAGATGATGGTTAGCAGAGATTTAGAAACTAATTAAAACTTATACGCAGGTAGAAATCCTATTTATACAGTTGTCCTAGACAGCTCTACTGAAATATTTCTGATTATAAGACTGTGGAAGGCACATGCAGATTTTAAGGCCTGATGTAAATTCCCAAATCTCTAGTTACTCTGGCACAAAATTGGCTTAATACAATGGCTAAAGCTGATTCTGATTTGTCAGCTGCACTTCCTTAACCTTTCAACTCACTGGACATTATCTTGTTCTGTGCAATCATTCCTTTGGTGCATACAGAAAAGACATTCCAGCAACTCAGAAGAACAAAATTTTACATTCACTTCGCATAGACATGCTAGCTCCAGGAGGAAAGCTGTAGAGAGTTAGATTCATTTTTTTCTATGTTGCTTCTGTCAAAAGTTTTGAGATACTGGTTTCTAGCTACCATCAAAGTGGCATTTATATTTAAGTAAAAGTTATTCTATTCTCACAAACTCATCTAACAGATGTAAAAATGCACATAAAATTGGGGGTTGTCTTTAGATGTCATTATGCATTAGTACAGTCTATATAAAGTTGTACCTGTTTTCTGTTCATGAACATCCACGCAGAAGTCTACACCTCTTTAAACATCACTATATGCTCACGTAGCTACAACAACCAGAGGAGCTGCTGAATACTACGGCTGAAAACAAAAATGAAGCCCTTGCACTGAGTGGAAAGTTGATGCTAGGCTTTTGCAGCCCTGCTGAGAATGGCTTGTCCTCAGAAACATATCCTTTACGGGCTTGGGCTCACAAGCAGGTTTGCAAACCAACCAGAGTTCAATGCTGTCCATTCATTTCAAAGCACAGGGGCACCTACCCCACATTCTATATCATTAAAACAAACCAAACAAACCCCACATACACAGAAAGATAGAATTGGTTAGTATTTGTGGCTGATGCCTCAAAAATCACAACAGCTTTAAACCAGCAGCTAAAATACGTTCCAAGGACCTTTTGCAGAAGTCTGATAGCTATGATTCCAGGGAAGAATTTTCCTGTCCTAGCTGAGGTGCTCACAGAGAGAACACACATGACCATACATTTGGGATTGGACTATCACAAAAGATGATGTTTACAGAGATCTCTTTCCTAAAAATATAGTAACACAAATTTTTATTTTAAAAACCTCTACAGCACACATCCGATCCGAAGGAGTTTAATTCAAGATGCACGCTTCCTTAGTATTACTCCTTCATCATAAAGTTTTATTCTTCATAAAAGATTCATTTCCCCAGATCCATAAACTGACTATTTCTAATTCAGTGTCATTTCATAAATACTTCCATTCCTGGCATCAATCAAATGCAGCTGGCTTTCAAACCACAAAACAACAGCTTGCTACATTACCATGTTAAACAATATCTATTAACTTATCAAGCTGAGGAAGAAATGTCTGCAAAATCAGCAGCTTTACAGTTCTGCCGATGATGTGCAGATACTCATTGAGGCAGTCTCTCTCAGTAGAGGTATTGTTATGCCTTGGTGTATTTCAATATTCATAGTTTATTTTTCACACCTTCTGGGCAGTTATGACGACTCAAAACCTGTACTTGCACCTCCCAGGTTCCTCATTGATCAGCCACGTACCCCACTAGCAAAGTCATTGCTTCAGAGGCTGCAGCTATCAATCTGTTGATTGTCCATTTGGCCTGTAAATTGGCTTAGAAATATTAGCAAAAAAACCTCCCCTTAGGCTTTAAGAAGTAAAACACAATGCTTGCACAATTTTGTGATAACTGGAGCAGATGGTTTCTTGGGAAAAAGCTCTTTGGCATTTCTCTGAAGACATCAAGAGATTGGGATCAGTTCAGCTGATAGATGAGATTACTACTATCCCTTTATCCCTTTCATTTATTTATTTATTTATTTACTATATGCAGCTGCCAGGTTTACAAAAAGGACTGGAATGTAGTGGAAGTGAGGCCTATTTCTAGCCTCACATTAAATATGAACAAGTATCTTATGCCTACAGCCTTAAAAGAAGACTCTGAATTTGAATACTAATGTTAAAACATTATCCAGTCTAAGGACTGAACAATTTTAACTTTATGAGAGCTACAGTGTTCAAAAACCACATACTTGACTTTTCTTATGGTATTTTCACTCTTCTTGTGAGTCTCTGGTGTATGTTCATTATGTTAAATATTTTGTACATGTCCTACACAATGGTAAGGGTCTACTTTCCTAATTAATGTAACTGACGGAATTTCTGAGTTTTATTTCCATCTTCTTGAAAAGTTCAGATGTACCTCCATACACTGACAATAATCAGTTGCACAACGGTATACTTTCAAAAAGTAAAGCTATTTTAACACAAGAAAGAGAACAAAGAATGAAAAACAGGATGAAAAAAGAAAGTGATTGAGAGGGTCACCCTACCTCTAGAGTACCTTACACCTATTGCTACAGGAGAAAAAAGACACCAACTTTCAGAAAAAGGAGCAAAGGAGAATAGCCTCCTGACTACTGTACTCATCATAACTAATTACATGTTTGACTGTAATTTTGTACTTTAAAGACAACAAGCCCCAGGGAAGTAAAACAAATATAAGAATAAAGGTCTATAATGGCTCCAATCAAGTGCATTTAAATGCAACTACAGCTATTAAGTTATGCATGTTATT